GTGCTAGATCACTTTTCGAAACGGAGCTAGAAGCTGTCCTCGTGTTTCCCCGTCTTCCATTTATAGTGACGAATTATATAGTCTAAGAATTCTATTACAGGCTTGAAGTCTATACTGGCGATTTTTTAACTTCTGGCCCCTCGAAGACTCTATTCACGTGTGGTATTAAAATAATACGAGAAAGCGCCAAAATGTGCATAGTTCATTCTCTTTACTTTTGAAATAGAGAATTTTGAGGTAGTCAAAATGTTACACTTTCACTGTTAATCACTTTTGATCTTCTTTTGGTTTTTGGTTATGTATATTTTGTTGTTTAACAACTATGGTTATTTCGGCAGATTCTTTAATCCTTTTTGGGAGAATGCTTCTCAGAGTCTGATGATATTATTTCTCCCCAGTAATACCGTCCGCTTACTCTAGAAGCAGGCTTTGTAATAGAGTCGATAAGCCTTCGTAAAGTCCATGAAACAGCGTTAAGTTCCCTTTCTGTTTTTAGTTCTTCATATATTTCTCTAACAGGCATGTACGCTTCGTAGGTTCCTTCCTGCTTTCAGGTATGTCTCCTTCTTAACTTGCAATCTGTTTGTGGTTATTTGGTAGATCTTCAACATGTGCGATTCTAGCGCAACCCTATATGAGTTTGGGGTCAATACGTCTCCTTTCCCTTATATAGTAACTTTCAAGTGTTGATTCGTCTCTATCTGCCTGGTATATTACTGGTCAAGGCATCTCTTGACAATTCGTTTATTGTTTTTGGGTGCGAAATATTGCTTAACTGGGAAGAGCATTAGCAGAAACCTGCAACGAGTATCGCCTTTTCTATCGAAAGTTTTCAATCAAACGAGAGTGTTCTGGAAATAATCCGACAAAAGATTGTTACTCTTGCCGAAAGAATCAATGAGATGTTGAAAGATTGTCACGGCCGGTTAACATTTTCGCTTGACCGAATTCACGTTTTACTGTACGTTAGACTGCAAAAAAAGGTGCTGGATTGCCTGGTTAGCGCCCCGAATCGAACTTTGAATGCGCCAACACCTTTCACTTCTTGTGCACGATGGCCGAAATCTCTATTTTCATTACAATTACGAGCCCTGGCGTTCTAACACGAAAAGCGCTGATTCGAGAAATCTGAGCAATGATAATATTTGTCGCATTCCGGCCAGGAGCTGATGCGATTTTGTGTGACGGTCCAAACACAAAAGTACGTTGACAATCAAGCTGTCAAAGAACTTTGTACGAAAAAATACTATTTGGGTCAACTGAGAAAGAATTCGCGCTTTTTTGAAATTTTTTTTGCTAATTTCTGAGCGAGAAGTTTGAAAGATGCGATATTTCTTTTGAAATGCCTTCAGAAAGCGAAAGAGCTGTTTGAAGTATGGCGCCAAATTTTAACTATTTGGTGTTCAATGGCAAGCAGTTATTGTCACATTCATATGTCTGCAGCAGGCTTTTAGATGTCATAGTGATATGGTCGGACTCTCAGCTTCCTCCCTTTTCTCTTTTGTATTACTTTCTCCACCTCTTTAGCCGAAGTTGCCATTGTCCATCCACAGTTGGTTTTCCTCTGGTCTGGTTTCTATTGATTACAGCCTGTATGAAAAGAGATCCCCTACTCCATTGTTATATGCCGAGGGAATTTTAGCTGTTTCGGTCTCAATATTGAAAGGGTCCGTCTCTTGATACATACGGCTGTGATTTATATACATTTGCATATATTCTCTGCTTAAACTAAAAAATCCCATTTCTACAAATTGTATACGTTTTCAGCATTCGAACAATTTAAGCTATATTTATTTCGTATATTCACATAAATTGCATATTTGGGCATATTTGCTTTTTTGCATTGGTACGTCGCCATCCACGAAAACAAGCCCACAGTTACGTTTCTCAGCGTGTAAGCTGCTTGACATTTCTCTCGCCATTGTATAGTACATCATGTGACCAGCTCTGAAAAGAGCTTCTGAGGGATTGTTTACATTGCCTGTGCACAGATCGGCGTACGTTGTCGCTCGAGAAGCACGCTAAGATCTGTCATAACAGTATGCAGTCGAAATTAAAATGTGCATTCGCGCCTATGCATGCATCACACGACGGCGCAAACGTAGAATGGTGTGAAGATAATCAACGCTTGAATTGAGAGAGTCATATTTTTGTTGCAATACATTTTTTTTTATTTTGTGAAATGTATATAAACTGACTCTCCCATTATTCCCAAAGACATGAGTGTTCTTCAAAATTAGCCTTGGGAAATTTTGTCACTTGAAATAATTATATGATTTCTGTTATCTTTTTTGTCTTTAAACAGTATTTCACATTATTTTTTATTTATTTTTACCTTACACATTTCCAGTTATCTTCCACATTTCGTTTCCTTAATTGCATATATTACTAATATAGTTACATATATATTGCGCATATTTCGCTTTTTATTAATTATAAATCACAGCCCTACTTTAATTCTTCTTCTTCTCTCAGCTTGAGTTTGTATTTTGTTCTTAATAATTTTCTTGTATCTTCCTCTTCGTAATATTGCTGGGGCATCTTTAGCTGATTATGCCTAGTTTTCACGGAGCTTCTGCACTTCTCTTCTCATCTTGTAACAATGCCTTATGGGAGCCGTTGGTTTTGCCTTCTGTTGATGTGTTTCTGGGTACATTTGCCTTACGAATTATGTCTTTCTGTGAGTTGAGTTGGAGTAATTAATATCGCCCTTTATAAACGAGCTAAAATTTCTACATAGAAGTGGGAAGCGTCTCCATCTTAGGAGCAATTAGTCGTTTTTGCAGTCAAAGCAGCGCCTCTGGGAAACAAAGTTTTCAGCTTTGCATTTTGGCGCTGGTTACGGACGGTCGGCGCGGGCCACGCGTAATATAAATCCTCTTATTGTGTTTTCTCATGATCAAAAAACATCATTTAAAAAACGAATGAAATATGTTAGGAGAACGAATTCAGAAAATTTTTAATTAATATTGCTTCTTGCAATCCATTATTGTCATAAGAATTGAACATTGAAATGCTATTTAGTTTGCATAAAGCCTGAAAGTTATATTAAATACGTTAAGAAAAAAAAACCAATAAAGAAATAATTGTTCTCCAGCGAGCAAATGCTTTTTGCTCACGCTTTTGCTGCAACAAAATAAAGAAATAAGTTGTGATTCGAACAACGTCCATTCAGCATAAGCAGCTTGAATACACCGCGACTCGTAAGTTTTGACTTCCAAACAACATGGCGGCCATTAGTTTTTGGCCGAGCCCTCCAACAGCGCTGAAACTAGGACAGCCAATTATGTAATATTCTCATCTCGTTGAGATTAACACATGCGTGGATCTTAGTACGATTTATTTAGTTGTTGCACTTTGAGTAAATAGCTGTTGTGGTTTCATCAATCGAAGCTTATTGTCGCTACAGAGAAGGCAACTATGGGAACGTCAAGCTTTCGATTGGATGAAGCGTGAAGCACCTGATTTACTTCTCAAATGCATGGGTTACATAAATTCTAGTATTACGTCGATCCTTGGTGCTCCGCTCTGCGCGACGAGCTCTCCACGCTATCCCAGCCTCCAGTAAAATACATCTGAGTCCGCCAGCTGTCTGAGTTTTGAAGGAGACTCAGCACGAGACTCAAATTGTTCGAAGAACAGGCCTGGCAACTTCTCCATCCAAAATTCATCTCGGGCGTGAAGGAAGGAGCCGCTAGTGTCGCCCCGGTTGCAGCTGCAGTTAGACTTGCTAACTTTCTACATTAAAATTAGTTATTTGTGAGAAGTACGAAATGTGTCTCTAAATGTTTCAATTTATTCATAATTATACTTAAAAAACCTCAAAGAAAGATCGAACATAGACGTTATCTTTTGTAATAGGGTCTACTTGCGACCGCGAATCACGCAGCAGCCACGCACGGTTTAAAGTATGTTGGCAGCAGTTCGTTTTAGTCTGTTAAAGAAGGTGATGCTGCAGGAGCGCGCACATGTCCATCATACCTCCAGGCCGCAAACTCTCCATCAAAAATCGGGAAAGCTCGAGCGTTGCTACTATAGGAAGCTAGTGTCCGCCGGTCAGCTGAGGTTAGGCCTCGCCAACTTCCAATACAAATTGGCTAATTTTACAATACCAAAAGTGTCTTCTAAGATGTTACAATTATTCATAATCTCACTTGTAACAATTCTGAGAAGAAATCACGAAACGTATCGTTTCTTTTGTACATATGGTCCTGCTTGCGACCCGCGAATCACGCAGCAGTCAGACGTTGAAAGTTTTTTGGCAGCAGTTCTGTTTTAGTCTTAAAGAAGGTGATGCTCTCATAGCGCGCCACGTAATGCCCCACCAGTTATACTCCTGGCCCCCTTGGATATATACTCTCTGGCCCCACAGTTATATGGGAGTTATAGGGCCTGCCATACTCTCTGGGTCCAGTCTCGAATTGGGGAACGGCGAAGAGCTAGCGCGTTGGAAATATTATACACATCTTATAATAAAATGGTTATTATAACATAATCTGTCATTATAAATAAGAAATATTACGGTATTTCATCTATGTTACAACCACATTCCATTACTCTGTTTATAAAGGTTATAATATAAATCGCCGGACGACACGAACGGGGAGTGGGCAGCGCTGGGAAGCAGAGATTATTACATTATGTTGGAACTCGCGAACACATCCAGGGAAATTTATACGACTTTTGTTTCAATAGCTATGAAATTATCTGTTGAACATTGAGGAAATTAGGTTCTATGGGCTGTCCAACTTCCGAGTGTCAGGAGTGCTTGCTTATTTTCATCTTTTAATTACATCCCGCTGTATGTATTGCCCAGTTTTCAAATTCCTGTGTTGCTCTGAAATAATTGCAGTTGCTCATTTGTAGAATTTCTCTACAGCGTGTTGAAAGCCTATAAATTCAAACTTTTCCATACATGTTTACAGACGTGTTACATTATTGGGTTTAAACTCCAGTCGATGTTATCGAAACGAATAATTGAGCGACTTGGAAACTCAATTTATGTATATATTGACACATCTTTTAGTTATCGTCAATGCCAGTGATTAAAGTTAACATTGTCAATGCAGCCCAGGTTCTAGAAATAGTATTGCATAATGTTTCCTTGGGCATTTTTGAAAAGAACTTTCCCTCTGAGATGTGGGCAAAGGAAACATCTCTGCTTAGCTCAAACCCCAAAAAAGTTTTTCCCCAAGTATCCTGTGAAACAGCAATGCAACATTACCAGTAAAACTAACTTCTGCAAAAATATAAACTCATTTGCTTGCAGGTAATTTTATCATGTTTCTTTTTTCTGTAAGTTTTTATTTCAAGAGTAATGAATAAAAGTAAATTATTATTATTATTATTATTATTATTATTATTATTATTATTATTATTATTATTATTATTATTGTTGTTGTTGTTATCATCATCATAATTGTTTTTATTGTCATTACTCTTATTATTTGACTTAGAATTATTAAGTGCATTGTAAAGACATTAAGTTGTTTTTTATATTGTTTTGAATTCTATTTCAATAGCCAAGTTAAGATAAATGAATATAATTCTGAAGAAAGAAAATCTAAAACTTCTAGTGAAATTTCTGAAGTATTAGACAATATAAATTTAGATATCAAAAATCACAATAGAGTGAAATATGAAGATGCAAAAAAGCTGCTAAGTTTTATGAGAGAAGGTGCGTTTATGGATGTGAATTATAATTTTAGAATTTAGGCACAGTGGGAAAGATTTGAAAAAGGTGTATTACAGGTCTAATTGCTGAAAATGAAAAATATGCCCTTCTCCTTCTTGAGTGGTGTTGTAATTTCATGCCAGACGTGGACTCTGTTTCTCGAATATCACTAGCTCTTTCAGTTTGGAAATTCCTCACTAGTGTGGGTGAGTTTTTTAAAAACTATTTTCATCATCCTCTTTTCATTTTTTCTTTCAATATTATTATAATAATGTTTGAATTTATTAAACTTTCAGGAATTGAAATTAAAGCCAAACATTATAATGTATTGCTGAAGTGTTATGCAGCAAATTCTTATAAAATTCCAGTAATGAAGTTTCTGTCTGAAATGAAAGAAGTTGTACCTGAGAGCACTACTTATGAGCTTTTACTTGACTGTGCTTGTGTAGTAGGAGATCTAGAAGAAGCAATGCTCGTCATAAAGTTAATGAAGGATAAAAACATGCCCATCAGTGAAGCTACATTCAATTCTTTGATTTTAGGTTATGCAAGAGCAGGGTGAGGACGAAATTTCAAATGAATTGAACTGTTTAAGATATATATGTTTGAAACTTGATAATACTTTCTTTATTTTTATCATGCTTCATCTAGAAAGTATTATACATATCTAATTAGGTTTATGAAAAAATGCAAATGATATGAATTAATAACAAACCACAATTTTGTTAAATGAATTTTGAAAAAATACAGAGACATCAAGAATTCTTTATCTACATTGGATGCAATGTATGCAGCAAACATATTTCCTAGTGCTAAAACTTACACAGTTGTACTGCAGAGTTATGCACATTTTGGAAATATTAAGGAAATGAAAAGAGTTTATGAAGAAGCTGCATCTAAAAACATTAATTTGAATATTCATCTAGTTATGAATATTTGTCGCACTCTTGCTGTCAATCAACACGATAAACTTATTTTAGAGGTATGAGTAAGTGATCTGCCAATAAAATTCTATATTTATATCTGCCAAATGTGTGTTTGAATGCAAAAGAAGCTTAATATTTGTCTTTATATATTAAATAAAATGGAAAAATTTATAGAAACATTCTCGTGAATTTAAGAGTTTAGAAAATTGGTTGGGAGTGATTTCTTTAATTTCTCTACATGTATAGTGGACTTGTTAAATTATTTATTGTATTCATGGGGCCAAACCTACACAAAGATCCTTCACTTCCAATTTGATAGAATTTTTGTTACATCTTTCTGGTTTGTGACTGTTTTATGATTTTTAAATATATTTCTCTGTGACCTGCGTGATTAAAAACGAGTCAAGATCCATGTCTGAGACTTTGTGTTCTTTGAGAATTTATACATTAGATGCTCTGTGAGATACTTTAAATAAGGGTATTAGAAATATCACAGCTAGAGGCAGTTTCATCAGTGCTTTCAGAAATTTCTTTACAAACTGTGTCAGATATTGTTCATTAAGCATTCTTGTTTGGATGCATTTAAATTTTTTGTGATTTCATTGTTTCAATATTTTGGAATAAATGTTATAAAATTGTGTTAGATAATTGTAAGACAAAAAAGGAATAAGCATCTGGGTGTTTATTGTTATGAAGGAAAATAATATGTTGCCAATTTTCCTGAAATTATTTATCACCCTGAATCTAATGTGTGTTTGTTGTTTTTAGTTTCTAGATTGGTTGCCAAATGATCTCAAGCGATTTACGTTAGCAGTTGAAAACACTATTTTAGAGCTTATTCATTTGAATTGTGAAAAAGCAGCTCTGTCAATAATGATGTCTGTATTACCTGAAGGAGTTCATACAGCAGAACAATCATGTGCATTTTTTGTGTATGAAATATGCAGAGCTAACATAGTAAGTTTGATTTATTGATTCATCTTGTTTGTTATATCTGAATAAAGTAATTACATCACAACTGTTTAGTGTAATTTTGGTTTAAAAATAAGTTCTCCCTAGATATTAACTATATAATTTAATAGGATTTCAAAAATAATCAGGTCTGATTTGGTTATTAACTTGCTGAAAATGGGCTATTGTAGCTTTTGAAGTGTCTTCTTCGTTGTCTTCTCTTTCCCCTTCTTCTTCTCCTTCCCCTTCTCCTTCTCCTCCTTCTTCTCCTTCTCCTACTTCTCCTCTTTTTTGTCTCCTCCTCCTTCTTTCCCTTCTTCTTCTTCTTCTTCTTCTCCTTCTTCTTCCCCTTCTCCTTCTTCTTCTTCTTCCCCTTCTTCTTCCCCTTCTCCTTCCTCTTCTCCTTCCCCTTCTCTTTCCCCTTCTCATTCTTCCCCTTCTTCTCCTTCCCCTTCTTCTCCTTCCCCTTCTTCTCCTTCTCCTTCTCCTTCCCCTTCTTCTCCTTCTCCTTCTCCTCCTTCTTCTCCTCGTCCTTCTTCTCCCCCTCCTCCTTCTCCTACTTCTTCTCATCCTTTTTTGTCTCCTTCCCCTTCTTCTCCTCTCCCTTCTCCTCCTTCCTCTTCTCCTCCTTCTTCTTCCCCTTCTCCTCTTTCCCCTTCTCCTCCTTCTTCTCATTCTCCTTTTGTCTCCTTCTCCTCCTTCCCCTTCTTCTCCTTCTTCTTCCCCTTCTCCTTCTCCTTCCCCTTCGCCTCCTTCCCCTTCTTCTCCTCCTACTTCTTCTCATTCTCCTTTTTTGTCTCCTTCTTCTTCCCCTTCTCTTCCTTCTCCTTCTTCCCCTTCTCCTTCATCTTCTCCTCCTCCTCCTACTCCCCCTCCTTCTCCTTCTCCTTCTTCTTCTCCTTCCCCTTCTCCTTCCCCTTCTCCTTCTTCTTCCCCTTCTTCTTCTTCCCTTTCTTCTTCTTCCCCTTCTTCTTCCCCTTCCTCTTCTTCCCCTTCCTCTTCTTCCCCTTCTCCTTCCTCTTCTTCTCCTTCCCCTTCTTCTTCTTCTTCTTCTTCTTCTTCTTCTCCTCCTCCTACTCCCCCTTCTCCTCCTTCTTCTCCATCTTCTTCTTCTCCTCCTTCGTCTTCTTCTTCTCTTCCTTCTTCTTCTTCTTCTTCTCATTATTATTATTAATAATGATGATAAGAATAACAAGAAAACAAAATGTTCATTAGCCAAAGGAAGAAATATTGATGATGATTATCACAATTGAAGCGTGGTCTGTATATATTTCCGATAATTCTCAAAGTAACCTTAGCCCCCTTAATTTTTGCCAAGCCCTCTAATCATGACCAAGTTTTAAAATGAAGAACTCCATAGGGGCCAGGGGCCAATGATTTTAATGGCTTCAGCAACCAGTTGTGCAAAAGATCTTGGCTATTGAGGTAGCACCACATTGAAAGCTGTAATGCCAGCATTTTGAGTCTTATAAAAAATTAAATTTCACATGGGCAGCCAAGATCTTTTGATAAGAAACCACTATCCAGAAAATCAGTTTCTTGAATCCAAAACTTGTGGAATAAAATCAATGTTAAAATGATAGCAAGTTTTTCATTTCTTGTTGTGTCAAATCACTGTGTATTCATAATAACTGTTGGTGGATAAGAAATAAGATGACAAATTCATTCACAAGAAAAAAAAACTCAACAATGCAATTCAGAAAGCTGATCATTTCGATACACATAAGGCCACTGTTTAGTTTGAAGTAGAAAGGAGTGTTCCTTAACCTATTAACTTTTGATTATTTCTCTTGACTTGACTTTTTTAACGTGAATTGTTTTTTTTCCTTTCTAAGGAACTTGTTAACTGTACTTAAGAATTTTATTTGCCACATTAACTAATTTTCTTTGATTTTATGCTTCTCATGATTATTTTCATGTATCATTTCAAAAAATTTAATGGTTATGATATAATATTTTATTCTTGAGTCCATATTCGATATTTCAACTTCTGCTCTATTATGTGATTTTCTGCAATAATGATCCATTATTTTACGTGATGATATCTTTTTTATTATATTATATTAATAGAAGTATATTTTTTAATATACGTAGTAAGAGTTGTCCTTCTTTTGGCTACGATTACTGCACATCATACAGCACTGCGAGCATCTTTCATTTCAGTATCTTCTTTGTCATGTCTAAACAGATGACTAAATTTCTTCACTACAAGAAAAATTTTTTCCAAAATGATATTCTGCTTTTAATGTGACAACATACGGACTTTGCATTAGTGTAAATTTTGCATGTTTCTTCCATTCTTTGCTAGATGGCCACCCTGAACCTCAAATGAACCAGGCATATGCTTGCACATTTATAAAAGTACCAATAAATCCAAAACAAACAACCTTACAGGTATACCAGTTAAAGCATTGAAAAGTACTCATCTCAATACACAAATATCAATTGAAAAAAAAATTTTCTTTTAAGACAATGTACTCGATGAATGTCATTAAATCTATGATTTTTGTAAATCCAAATTGCCCCACTGTAAACCGAAATAAGCCTGCTCAAGTCAAGACTTGCTGCTAGTGTTTGTTGTGTTTGGTTGAAATTAGATTTTATTTTTGTCTGTCAGTACTGAAGTTGTTTACTATTGGATCAAATAAATTAATACCTAATGCAATAAAAATAAAATTTTAAGTTTATTTTTGTATTAATTTTGGTTTGTATTAATTTAATTGCCATTATGAATTACAATTTCTGTTATTGTAGGATCCTGGAAACATCATAAATATCTGCAATTATTTGGAAAAGAATGAGATGTATCCAAGAGCTTTGTATAAAGCTGCTGAGGTTTCCCTGCATTTGGGCAAACCTGATCTGACATTACCCATTTTTCAGACACTTGCCAAGAATGGTGAAACTTTGCGACCACATTACTTTTGGCCCCTCTTCAAACAGAGTGCTAAAGTAGATGGTGAAGCAGGTGGATTATGTTGTTGTTTACAGTAATTTAGAGTACTCAATAAACTATTATTTTATAACTTTAATACTTTATTTAAGTTTTTGGAAAATATAATGAATCACATAAAATTGTAATAATTGGTTGGATTAGTAAAAGCCTTATTCAGTTTTGTTAGTTTACCTGACTACTGGTTGGTTTTGAATATTAAAGTTTTATAAAGAATTAATTGTTGAACATTAAAATGAGGTGCTATAAAGTGTAAAAGAAAGGGGGCAAAAATGTTTCCCATGTTTTATTCGTTTTACATTTTTGTTGGGAGGAACCCTGACCAGATGATAAGCTCTAAGATCATTTTGTAAATATTTCACATATATCCATTTTGAAATTACTAACATTGAAGTTTTTCTAATTCCTCAGGCAAGTGTTTTGAATAGTGTTTTGCCTTTTCACAGGAGTTCTGAAAACTTTGAAAGAGATGCAGGCTTTCAAGGTTATCCCTGATTTTCATACTTTAGTGGATTATATCTTACCAGTAATATCAACAAATAATCCGGAAACCACAGTTCAGAAGTTACAAGACTGTGGTGTTGCAGCTCATCACTCTCTAACATCTGTAGCTGCTACATTGCTTCTGACTGGTAGAATTCATTCACTTACTCATCTATGTAAGTTACTATCTTCTAAATATTTAATTTTGCTCAGGATTTAGTTGGTTCTTTAGTTAATTATGTTAAATTTATAGTGCTGTGAGAAAAGTGTAAATTAAAGGAATGAGATGTAAATGGAATGCTGCATAAAAGAAAACTATTGATGCTACAGTAACACTCGCTTCCTTAAATTATTGGAAGTGATTAATTATTGTAATATTGCTACTTCAATCCTACGAACATATCAGTCATCTCTTGAATAATTTTTAGCCAACAAAATGCAAAAAGTTTTGGAAAAGTACGCATTTTCAATATGTTTGATTATTCAAAAGTTTTAATGACAATAGCTTTCTGCCATTTTATTTAGTGAATTGTGCTTGTTTTTTTGTTAAAAGTTTATAGGAAGAAAAAAAAAACAAAGATTGAATTTGAACCCAAGTACTCATTACCAATGAAAAACCAAGAGGCAAAGCTAAATAACCAAGTTACAGAACTTCATTTCTGATGTAATTAATTCTGAATGTTGCTGTGGTTCTAACATTATATTTAAACATTACACAAAAATACAAACATTTTGAAAAAAGTGTACATGATATGATTTAAATATCTAAAATTGAGGTATATATTTGTTTAAGAGATCTATCTTTATTGTTATTATGTTTGTCTTTTGCAGGTAAGTCTTATGTAACCAAAATGGATTACGATAAATTGATGCAACCTCTTGTAGAAACATTTATTGTGAACAAAAAAATACAGCCTGTATCTGCTTTTTTGAAAGTTGCTTCAAAACATGTAACAAATGACTTGGCAGGACATTTTGTTCTTGAGTTGTTGGCAATAAAAAGAACCAGGCTTAGGAAAGATGATGTTATTAATCTGCTTCAGGTGAGTCATTTTTGTGAAAATTGAGAGAAAATTTGAATAAATTTTTCATGATTTGGTAATATGTTTTTGAAAGTTGGAGACAGACTAATAAATAAATGAATAATGTACTATTGAATGGTCTCCCAAATAGCAACTAAAATTAATTATTCAGGAAGTGAAATTCTAACAAATACAAGGAATATAAATGAGTTAATTTTCTTTTCTCCAACATGTGAGGATGAATTATACTAATAAGCATTTATCTCTTGTAATAGACAAAATTTCAATAAATATTGTTGAAAATATTTATGTACATACACATGTATAGCGATGCTTTTAATATGTTTTTCTTTTATTCCAGTCTTTTAAAAGTGTTGGTCTCAGTATATCACCATTTGCTTCTGAGATTATTGCAAGATATTTTAAGAACGGAGGAGCAGATTCAAACTTGTATAATCAAATCTCTCTTCTTCTCACATCAATTACCCAATCAGACCTTCAGCTTTCACCTTCCGAAACGATAGATGCATCTATTCCTCATCCGGTGAGAAATTGAGAGTAACAGTTTTTATAAGCTTGTATCAAGGCATCAAATCATAAGTGATCATTATGAACTATTTAAATGTTTAGACTGAAATTGACCCATTATTTTTTCTGTAATGTTATTGTTGGAACCAAAACTGTATGAATTGGATGTGGTTTGGGTTTTAAAAGATCTTAAATCTTAAGAAATTATTTGTGCAACTTTGTACTCTCAGTTCATATTTCAACAACTGACTCATCTAAAGTAATAAACAGTTTTCTGAGATTTCAGGTCATTTTCAAGTACCTTTAAAAGAAAAGATATTCTTTTGTTTTATTAGATTCCTCAGAAAGAAATGAGACTATTTCTTTTTAACTCTTTAAAATAATGTCAAAAAATCCCCCCCCCCCCGCCTTTTTTCAGTCTCCCTTTCAAAAACCGAAACCAACATCAAGATACTAATTAATTAACTGAAACTAGAATATTATTTGAAATGGTTTGATGTCTTAAATATAATGGTTCTAATTTGTAGTATCTGAGAATGAATTACATGGATGTTTTTTAGCGTGACATGAATCTGGAAGAACTGGAAAATCATTTAGTGGAACTGAAGAGCAAGTTGATGAATACTCGAGGTGTCCTGCGTCGTTTGTTGCAATTACATATGAGAGAAGGGAACATTAAACGTGTGCTAGAGGTTAAAAAGGTATTAAGATAGTTTTAATTGTGATGGAAGCTGATGTTTGATATATATGCTGCAAGTACTGTATTGTTGGTTCAGTTAATCCCATTACATATTAAGCTTTGTTTTTTTGTATGTTTCATGAGTTAAATAAGTTGTTGTTTTTAGGAGCTTGAAAATTCTGGTTTTAAATTCTCTCCTGGAATGCTTGCTTCATTATTTGATATGTATATCAAGTTTGAAGATGAAAGTTCGGCTGAAAAAATTTTAAATGAAATAATGAATGATGCTCCAAATTTTATTATTGATGAACACAAAATTATTGATTATGCTTCATTGCTTGTCACAAAAAATCAATACAAAGGTATGTTTATTAAGATTTTAATTCTCAAATCAATTTGAAATGGAAAGGACAATGCCAGAGGAATCTAATAGGTGAAACATTTTGACTTATTTCTTCCTGAAACTTCTAATCATAGGAGAGTTTGCTATATGTAAATTTGCTGATGATTCACATGCACAGTTGCGTGATAGTCTTTTAATATATGTATCATCTTATCCAACCATCTTTGACGTATTTTCTAACTGTATGGCTAAACGTTTTTTGTTACATTTCCTTTATAATGTACAGTCAGTTTATAGTTGATAAGGTTCATCCAGTGGTAGGTTGCCCATAGGTAATTATAATGCACTGAATAAATTAAAACATATACAAAAATACAAGCATACATACGAAAATGAAAAAAGTGAATAAAGATGTACATGGATGTAATACATATATGTATAATAAAGTATACATATATAACACAAGATAATACAAAAGCCAATGAAAGTGGTACATGGCTATAATTATAAACACACATGCACACTCACACACACGTGCATACTCACACATGCACACTCACACACGTGCACACTCTCAAACGTGCACACTCACATACGTGCACTCTCTCACACATGCACACACACACGTGCACACTCACACACACATGCACACTCACACACACATGCATGCACACACGCACATACGTGCACACACACACATGCACACTCACACACATGCACACACGCACAAATGCACATACACACACGCATGTGCACACTCACACACACACATGAAAATTCACAACACATGAAAATATAATAGTTCTATTTTTTAAAATAGAATGTTATTTATTAATTATGTTTTAAAATATATCCCTTGGTCTACATAAAAGTATCATGTACTGGCAATTTCTTCTGTCACTTTTTCTTCTATGATCAGTTTAATGCTTGTTGTTTCATAAAGACTTTTTATGACTTCTGTATTATGTTTTGGGTTTCTCCTTATTTGAAGAATGTTCCATATCAGTTCTCTGTTAACGTTACCAAAGACCAAATGTTAGATGTGTTTCACAGTTATATTGTCTTCTTCTATTTTTCCTTTTAATTTGAAAATGGCATCTGCAGTCACTCTCCTGTTTCAAAACCCCATTTACTCTCTGCTATTAGTTGGTCTGCAATAATTTTTACTTTCTCAAACTTACATCGTAAGATGAGAAAGTTATATAATTGTGCATTGGAAGAAAGCAAATTTTCAGCATAAAAACTCTGGCAATGAAAAAGTGAATAAATCCTGTTTCTATATATATTGTATTTTACAGGCTATAAGATGCTACGGACTTCAAAATGCACATTACTTTTTAAGCAACTTTTCAAAAAAATAAAATTTTTGCCAATTTTATTATAAGACGGGAAAACCAGATAAAAAAAATCTTAGTTTATAAAACCGACGTGACCTTAAAAATCCCTAAAAATCAACATCTAAACTAGCTACTAACAAAATATTGCTCTGTTACCGAAAACACAAATCACTTTCAATTCAAGTTCACTGAACTGTAGACTGCAATGATGCATCATCGGCTAGACAGTGTACTAGGTTTGAGATGACAGAGCGGGAGGGAGACACTGTTGGGAGTTTTTGAATCTCCGCATGTTCATGGTATTGGTGCATCGCTGCTGCCAATTGAATCCAGTGTTGCTGGATAGAGATGGGTTTGCTGCGGTATCAAATATATGGCCATTTTTAGATTGGCAGGAATTTTAAATCAAACACTGGACTTTTTATATTAATTTCAAGTACAAGAAAAACGGCATCTTGTAAATTGTAAAATATGATAGTAAATTACTTCTTCCGACACATGGTGTTTCCAGTATCAATGTTTGGTGAGTCCTTGATGCCGATTGATAGCAAAATGTCTGTCCATCAGTCTGTGAACATTAGCAGCTAAAACGTTCAGCCAATTTTTTCCAAAATTGAATCGCTGATCGATGGCTGATGTCGTGGCCCCGTGAATTTGAAACCGATATTTTAATTTACGGGGGTACTTTACATGAAGCCCCTAGGACATTTTCAAA